ATCTGATAACCGTAACCAGTGGGCATCATCGATGCTGGGGGAGGCTGAGATGTCGGCCCACCGTACGCCATATAAGGGGGCATCACAAAGCCATACGCCTGAAAGAAATGACCGCTTAACGCGCCGCAAGAGTATTCGCTCTTTTAGACATCGTCGCATCGAAGTTGAAGATCGGCAAAGTCTTATCGTGTATTTTTTGAAATTTCGAGCACTGTGACGAGTCGTAAAATTCCATGGATTTTCTGAAACCTTCCATAACTACTACCTGATGGACGAACTGTTGAGGAACTCCCATTTCCTCCATCGTATAACCACCAGGCGGAGTATAATAACCACCTTGTGGCTGCTGCTGCTGTTGTTGATAAGTAAAATGAGGGGGAGGTGGGGGCGGTTGTTGCTGCATGCTTTGGTTCATAGATGCAGCAGCACCCTTACCCTTCCCTTTACCAGGCCCATTAGGGCCCCATGAACCGCGGCTGTTGCTATTGCTGGCCGGTCCTGTTCCACCACCCATATTGTTAGAAGATGATTGCTGTTGTTGTTGCTGATTAAAGCTTGTATTTGCTTTTGTAGACATGGCACCCCAACTGGGCAAGATCTAGACTCGTCAGTGACCGAAGTTGAGTTCTTTTCGGCGGGACGACGACTCAAAATCAAGCCCTGAAAACATCAGCATTATTATTATCCGATCGCCACCGTCTCCCATCGTAAGATCCTCTAAAGAAACGTGAGACACGTGCTATCGACGTGGGCATTTTCCTTCTAGCGAGTACGATCAGTTGCGACAAATTCCGCCCGACCCCAGCAGCCAAGTCTGAGACCTCCGCAGAAATTGTTATCCAATACGTCCAACGACCAGTCCAGACACGTTGGGGTACTAATGAACTGCCACCTTATGCAATCTCGCAAGTGCACGTTTACAACCGAACCGACTTGAGGAACAAAGCCTCCCAAATTCATTCATCGATTTTATGGGCGCGCGCGATTAACGGATCATTTTGCCACTTAAGGGCCTAAACTGAATCAGATTCACTAACACAAGGCGCAGGGCCTTTTTCATGAGAGCAAATTGCGCCTCAAACGAAAATGACTCTCCAAGTAGCCTTGAGTGATCCCGGCTTACTTTTCCACTACTCAAGTAAACACTTCAAGGGCCTTGAATCAAGGCGTCCTAAGTCAAGTTGCTCCGTAACATTGAGAAATTACTCAAGTACTTCTTAGGCATACCTAAGTTGCTCCTTAAGCTGCTCCTTAACTTAGGGAGCCTCAAATTGAGTATCCTTGTGAATCAGGCCTATAGCTGTCAAGCTATATCGTCAGCCAAGTATATACGCTTGATCCAAAAAGCTCACACTCAAAAGAGCAACGCAAAAAGAGCAATACAATCAGGGTATTTGTGGACTAAGATACTGGCTAGGGTCTTATTCCTGGCTCAACAGTCGACCGCTAGGGACTCGAAGCAACGCCAGGCGATTATCGAGAAACTGCGGGGCGGACTTCCGGGCGATCCGGCCTTGGTATCTTTCGATGGTATCACACTCCCTAGCCACGTCTTAGCGATTGCGTCTGAGCAGAAGCGTTTAAACGTGGGTTCTCACATCCACTGTGAGCACGGCACTCTTCGACGAGAAGCGGCGCGGAGGTATGATGGTGGTGTTCTCACAGTCGAAGGAGAAATGGGTGATGAAATTGGTCTGCTCGTGTATTCCTTCGATCCACGAAGCGCTGCTGATGAGTCTCTTGTATGCTGTATTTGCTACATCGATGCAAGCTGCCCTAATGACCTCTGGAAGTGTGCCTGTCGTCGGAAGTTCTGCATGAACTGTGTTGCTAGCATGATACTCGCAAGAACGACGTTCGGGGATCCCTCAGTTCGTAGGGAAAGTGAGTGCTGCCCTTTCTGCGATGCTCTGAGGGGTATACCCTACATGCCACATCCGCTGGATCGCTTGCGAGCACAGGTGTATCTGCAATTCAACCTGGTATTGAGTCAATACTATTGACACTCAATAACTTCCAGTGTCCTACTGGTCTTTCCGAACTGGTTCTACCCAAAGTCTTGCCGTTCAACTGGATTCTCCAAATGATACTATCGGCTATATGGCGTTATGCATATCTCTATGAATACAGTGAGGCTTTGAAGGTACGGTTCGAGCTGTCGCACGATGTATCTCCCATTGACGTTCTTGTTCATGAAGGATGTCATGACTTTTGGCCTTGCACTACGCTACTACCACTTGGTCGTACAGGACTCCTGCGACATGAGGGAGACGAGGCTGTTAGAGCTACTCCCATTCCCTACTCTCCAGTACCTATGGAAGACCTGTCTGAGTGCTCTTCAGTGAGGAGTTCGTTTGAGTCGTCTGTTGCCTTCGACGACAAGCGAGAGGATTACGACAGGGAAATTCCCAGAACGAGAAAGAGGAGATCTATTTCTGGCAAGGATGACTCTGTTGAGATAGATTTGGAAGAAATTCATATGGATGGTGCGCAGTACCGGGGAAGTTCGGCAGGAGGAGAGGACCATGCTGGTCCCGATTGGTGCAATGACCCTGATAGCTTTCGGGATTCGGCGGGAGCAGAGGCAGACAAAGAGCCGGATGAAGAGCTTGAGCGGGTACGGTCGATATATGGGCTTCGGTTCTGTATGACATGCGGAAAGCTATTTTGTTGTTAGGTTCTCTCCGGCAGAGTCGCGATTCCGGCAGCTTGCTTCAGTACGACGAATAAGGGGAAAAGAAGTGTTTGGATTCGCAGTATACAATACCGCGAAAAGCAAGGTTTGAAGCAGAATAAAGTCCGATATGAGTGCTGCGCAAAAACCTGCTACTGTTCTCTGACCATTCAGAGCCGCGAGGATGGACATTATTGCATCAGACGTCCAGATCAACACTCTAGCAGCTGTGATAAAGTATCTGACCCCGTTCGAGAAGAGCAGACTCGATTGAGGAGGAAGGTATTCGAGAAGTTAAAAGCGAATGGCAGACGGTCAGGCCAGGTAGAGAAGCTCATATCCGAGAATGCGATAGATTCAACTACCCTTCAGCGGCAGCGAAATCTGCAGGAAGCGGCGTATCGAGCAGACCAAGCTCGTGACAAAGCACCGACTGCTCGACAGTCTGAATCTGATGCTGCCCAGTATTAATTTCATCGAGTATGTTCAAAATAATGCTGGCAGGTGTCGCGGAAACGACAAACCCCTTTTGGTGTACGCTGATACCTCTCCGACCGACTCAGTTATCGTCTTCCTAGCCGAGAGGAATGCACGGCATGTCGCCGGTGCGAGCGGGTTGATCCTCGACGCCACCTTCTCTGTGAGTCCTAGAGGATACTGTCAGCTATTAATCGGGTTGATGCCATCATAATTTCTCCATCAACTTGATGGAGAAATTAGGCTATTACGTTCCTCTATTTTACTGTTTGATGAGCAAAAAATCTGAAGAGCAGCACACCAAGGTCTTTCTCAAAGTGAGGGATACGTTGACGGAATACAATCTTTTTGATCTGTTGAAAGGTCTTTACGTGATATCCGATAATGAAAGCGCCCTCCGCAGTTCGGCATCGAGGATCCTGGAATTGAATATGGAGGCCATGCTGCAGTTCAAATATCATCTAAGCTGGATGAGGTACCTAGCTGAAGTGGGCTTGGTGAATGTTTGCTTTGCAAAGGATTCTCAGACGAAGCTGTGGCTAAAAGAATCCATGGGACTACCATGGCTGCCGCCATCAGAGATTTTAGCGGCCTGGGGTGAGATCATCTCACTGAGATGAAGTCACGTCGACCGCCAGGGCCTGCCGTGGGTAAGTACATTGCCTATTTGGAAAGCAACTACTTGTTGGATACGGCTCGGTTCAAGCGCTCGATAATCATCAGAATACCACAAATCCATTAGAAGGAGTTAACCGAGATATTGGAAACGGTGCTTCGTCGAAATCGAGTGCCAGATTTTTTTGCGATAAAATATTGAGCTTGCAGGTCAAGTCTGAAATCCGACTCAATTCCATTGAAGCCGGGGAGGAGGCTCGTCCGTCCCGCAGCTTTGACGTACAGCGGCATTCCCTCTTCGTGAAGTACAGAAAGGGTCGGCTTCCGCGGAGACAGCATCTCTGTATGGTGGCGGAGCTGGCCGGCCTGAGGCGTCACATATGAGGAAGGAGACACGAGTATGATTTTGGATACAATAAGCCTCTTCGTGCCTCAGTTTTTTTACTTTTATACAGCTGCCATTTGCTTTGTCTCTCTCAAATATCGGATTTGGTTCACCAGATACGCTGGGAAAGAGGCACTTGCCAGTAGGCAATTGTGATACTTCTATGGTTAGCTTGGGAAAGGTTATAGTTATAAATTGTTATTCGTACTTCGCAATCCCTACTAGTGAAATTAGACATATTTCCACGAGTTGGTAACGCGGCGTTGCTAGTAGATTCTACTAAGTAGAATAGTGTTTATGCACTGAATGCTATTTTGTTGGTTAGAACAGGTTATAGCACTGCTTAATATTTTCGAGAAAGTGCGATTTACGAGAATAGACCTCTTATATGTATCCTATTCATTTAATAGGAACGTTCCGATTCTCCGGAAATAGAAGCGATTCCGAAAATTTTAGCTGCTATTTAATGGAACTTGGCGTTGAGTAAAGCAAGCTACCTCCATGAAAAAGGTTTTTTTCGATAATAGCAGCGTCTCGGTGGTGCTGTTTTGTGTGACGGCCGATCCAAAATGATACGATATTTTGCGTAAAGAATTATCCAAGAACGAGCAGTCCATAGTAGTAACGACTTGAGGTTACTGAGCCAGTATGTAACACATAATGTGTTGTCTGTTGCCAAGTAGGTTTTCGTGGCGAAGGGGCGGAGCTCGCTTAGTCCTTTTAGTAGTGAAAATGATCGCTGCGCAAGTAAGATGCTCAGAATTGATTTGCATATGTATGATACATACAATGATTGTCCACGTTGAAAAACTCGCTCATATTACATCGTAACATGGACTTCGAATTAATGAGGGCCCTACGTTGATTTGAAGTGACAAAAATCTGTGGTTCAGCCGCTGCGGTTCCGTCCAAGGTAGTCCACAGTGTGGACTCCACACCCTGTTCAACATGTGCCCAGTGTGTAGGCACACTGTAAGACTAATAGCCCGGTCCTACGCCGCCAGTGGCGAGCGAGAGTCTTTGTTACGTGTTTGTCGGTCTGTATTATCCGTTGCAATTTGTGGTAGCCACGTATTGTTACCTTTTCTTTACCCACCCGCAGCCACCCGGGATTTCCCGGCGCTGAGGCAGGTGACGTCATTCTGTACTTCGCACGGAACCGTTTCTGCATTATTCCCGCCCTGCCCCAGCGTCCGGGTTTGTGGTTCCCCCATCGGCACGTACATGTTGATATATTCCCATGACTGAGTCAACACACTTTGAGTTCGGGATACCGAGTGCTATCAGTGAGTTCGATGACTTGAAGAGGAATATCACTACAGTAAATACCAGGAGGCGCGGCAACCTAAAATTGCCAATCTCTTCACAGGAGAAATTGCAAGACTCTGCAAAACGGCTAGGGGAAGCTTCCAGGCCGCAAGAATTCATCGCGGAGAGTCTCAGTTACACATCACATTGTTTTTGCAAATGTGCCTCTCAGAACCGGAATCTTGAATTTGCTAACCATGGGGCTAGGCTCATACGAGGGGAGGTGCAGTGAACCTTGCATTTCTCATACCTTCGTTCTTCAGGTTTCACAATCACACAAGGACCTTGAGGCTCCGCTCGAGAAGTCGCCGAGCTGGGGCGAGATACCCGTCGCTTACTCACTTTGGTAGGCAAAAGCTGCGAAAAGAGCACTATGGCCGGAGCGGATCTCACTTCAACTAGTGCGACATTGCGATCCACTCTGCCTGTCAATGTTCAGAACAATACGCAATAGTTTGGAACTATTGGGCGTGCAGTAATTTGTGACTTTCCAGCGCCCTGGTCTTCGGACCCCGGTGTGTTGAGTTATCATAGTACACTGAATTTGAGAGCTGTCTTCTCCTAATGCTCATAGTAGGAGCATCCATAGTCCATTCGCCAGGCTTCGAAGCATGTTCCCTTGTTTAATAGATGCCTGCAGGAATATACAGTGGATGGTTCATAGTGAATTTGTTGATATACAAATACACAACAATATTGGCAAAGTAGTTTTCTAACGACAGTTTGGCCGAGCGGTCCAAGGCGCCAGCTTCAGGCGCTGGTGGCTCATCATTTAGCCCTCGCCAGAGGGCTAAATGTTACGCCCCGAAGGGGCGGTTTAACCCCTGGGAGGGGAAAGGGGGGAAATGAAATTCCTCCACAACTGTTAAGTATGAGGGGTCGGGCAAAATCAATGGTAGTTTGTTCTTGACGAGCCGGCTAAATGCTATCATGTGTCCAATTATCTGGCCGGTTACGATGGCTTGGCTGTCAAGTTGCTAGGGCTAATTGCTGTGATTGACCTTACCTCGTATGTTGGGTCAGTGTCAGTGATGAACTGAAGTAGTTGTTGTTTCATTTACCCCTACTAGTTGTGTCGTCAATTCATAGTACTCGTATTATCAATTATTCGACAACGGAGGCACATGATATCGATCAATGTTCAGAGGGAAAGGTGGAAAAGGATTTAGAATGTTTAACAATCATTGTCAAACACTGAACTTCAAGAGGCTCGTTCTTTAATTCGAAGCTCATTATTGAGCTATTATCAAGCGGCAAATCATCGTTGATGATCCAACCATGCGGAGTTTCGGAGCTTGGTCGCAGGTTCCAAATGTTTAATCGTATCAGATAGTAGAGTATCCGAAATGATGGATACTCTAGATATGGTCAAAATACTGTGCCCAAGCGAAACATCGCGGTTTGCAGTTTTCTCTCATTTGAACTCTATAAACCGGTCCTAAAACTATCACTCCATTGTTGCAATAGATTGAGATAGTTTCGATGCACTGGTCTACTGACGGTCACAGTTTTTCGTGATAATGGAAAGACTCATATACCGCTTATGGAACGGGGCAATGGTATTATCCGTGATCATACATCACTGTGATGGGATGATCCAAACGAGCGATGGTAAGCCATGACATATCTGCCTTGAGCTACTGACGCACGATTTGAATTGACTTACACAAGGAGGACAGAGGCTTCTGAAGTATACAAGTTCTGAGTCCCGAAGTCAGGGGCTTCCCCATTATAACCGCACTATCGTCGGAGACGACAGTTGAGACACGCCCAAAATGGGCTGCTCGCGGAAATTCACGAGTATCACCGTCTAACTTCAGTTCTCAGTAGAAAGAAAATAATGACAGTTCACAGGCCTTTGAGTCTGAGGGCTTCCCCATGATAACCGCACTGCTATCTGGGACAGCAGTTGAGACACGCCCAAAACGGGGTGCTCGCGGATATAATCATGGGTACCACCTACAGACCGCGCCTGCGAGAAAAAAGTTACGATGACTACGCTTCGGGACCTGTTTCTTCGTCTAGATCCATCTTCTTCTTGGACTGCGGCCGACGGCGCCCCGCTATTCTCCTTTTCGACTTCCTCGATCGGCGTTCCGCCACTGCAGCAGTAGCCGTGGCTTTGGACATCTCACTTAGTGGTGAGCTTTGTGAACAGAACGCTCTGTTCGTTAAGCGAGAGAACCCACTACGATGCTCATCGAGGGCACCGACGGCGATGAGATGCTTCACCTGGGAAAGATTCTCTTTCCACGACTGCTCATGCTGCTCATTGGCGGTACTAGACTTGGGGTCAGCCAGATGCCGCAAGTTGCCCTTACCGCTGGCCACGCTCTGGAAGTAGTCTGCAATACCATCGAGGTAGGATGGATCATGCATTTTGCGGATCGCCAGAGCGTGGATGAGCAGTAAGCTTGTCCAATCCCTTAGGTGTGGCAAGACGAAGCTAGTGAGGGCTTCCAGATAGTTGCCCTGTACTTCGAAGTTCGTCATACTCACAAATGTGCCTTGGCACATACCATATTCGCCAGAGATACCCGGTCGGCACAGCTCGGCGAAGATCCTAGACCAGGAACCATTGTCGATCGAGTAGTAGAGGTTCTTCGAACGACGCTTCCATGACCACGATGGATGCTGTATTTTGAGACAGCTGTAGGTGTAGTCGCTGATAAACTGCAATCCGGAGAAGGACTCTGATATGACTTTATGGCGGCCATAACTGTCCCATCGATTCCCCAGATGCGGAAAAAGTTTATTTAGCACACATTCGTCCACCTTTCCCTCTTCGCATCCGAGCATCCACCACTTCAGAACATGAGCAAGCTCTCCACCAGGCTGAGTGAGCAATGGTATGCACCGCGAAAGTAGTATGTTGAGCCGTATCCTGATGGCACGTACCAACATATCATCACTCATGACCTTGAGTCGGTGGAAGAAAGAGCCCACAACACCGAGAACCGGGCAATCTTCACCAAGTCTTCTTATGTCCTCGAAGAGAGTCAGAACGCCGCTCCTTGATGCCTCATCCTCCGAGATGTAGGACTCAGGATCGACATACGAAGATGTGCTAGATGAAGCTCCACCAATACCATCCTTCAGTGCGCGGATGGCACAGCTCACTGCGAGGACGCAGAGCGTTAGGAATAATTGCATCGATCTGCTGTATACTCCCTCCTGGCTCTTGCAGTCACCCCATTTGCCCCAGCGGTCGATAGCTTTACTAGAATCCGAGATGTCCATGTTCGGTTATCCGAGGAACTAGAGAAAAAACTACAATACCAGTGGTATTATACCATCACTGCAAAGGTCAACCGTGCCCCTGTGCCTTGCTAGTTTTATCCCATTCAACAAATGAGTCATTCAGTCGAGCTCGCATCAAATACGTAACCATAATGAATGCGGGTAGTAATAAAAGACGATCCATTATTCCCAACACCTGACTGTAGTGAGCATAATTCCACACATCACGGAAAACAATAGGGCTCACGCACGTGGAGACGAAAGAGCATCGTATATATAACGCTTTAAGCGCTTTAACGCTTTTAAAGCGTCGCTTCAATATAATGCTCTACTAGCTGACTATCTAGACACGGTACTGAGCCCTGATCTATACTCTAAGGCCCTGAGTGCCGATGAACGTGTTTGTGCTGAGAAGACAATGAAGATTGTGCGCCATTGCTGCGTTGTCTCCTCCTGTGGCGGGAAAATAGCCCACTTGCGGACGACCCTCTCACAGGCTCATCGTATTCAGTAATACCAATTCGTTACATTCGTTACGGCTCATTCGGGCGTTTTCCCTCATTACCACACGAAAGACCCTTACATTGATTTCTCACGTCACCACGTGACTCATGTGACGTGAGCACATGTCTCTGGGCGCCACGAACGATTATGTGATGCCTGGGCGAAGGGCCTTTTTAACGCTATCAGAGGATCTTTTTGTCTTCCTTGGCTGCATGGATGTAGTTGAAGTTTTAACCCAAATAATATGCCCAAAACTCACTTGAAAACAACACATACCGGTCAGAAATTGACTCGTAACTTGAGATTCGTAATGGTGACCAAAGAGAACAGATCAGATGCTGTGCTCCATAATTTGTGAAAAGAAAAGATTGATATGACGACTGACGGCTTGTAGACCACAGCTTCGAGTACAGGAGCTTCTCTCATCTGGATGCGATGAACGTTGTCCTAGTGATAAACCATGGCCTTACTATATTGAATACGAAGCAGTAGATCAGAGAATTCGCAGGGCCCGACTCCAGGGGCTGAGTAGGCCGAGCCGGATTCATCAGAAGAGAGTGTGATTCTCAGAACCTGTTAAACAAGAGACTACAAAGGCTATGAAGAACAGCACGCTGTGATATTACTGAAAAACAACTTCGAACTCACCTGAAAATCCCTGACTGGAACTATACTTCCATATCTCCTGTCGCACTGGGCAGTGCCAGTTGAGTCATACTCTTAATAAGGGCTGCTCGCAACGAATTATGAGGCAGGAGTAATAGCAATCAGGGATTCCAGGCTATGATTCAGCAATGATGTTAACCATCTCTCACTTATCCAAATCTACAACAAACGGAACCAATTTGTATGATAAGAAGAAGCCGCACATGGCCTACCAATTTCAGCGCTTGATGATTGCTCATGCTGCGTAGAGCACTTGAGTGTTCTTGCATTATTTCGGCATCTTGCTCGATCACTCTCCAGGAGCTTCTTTACAATATCTCCACTCTCGCACCACACCTCGAAGGGAGGATCGTGAACAGGACAGTGGCGATAAAGAGCTCTATTCTTGCCCACTGCTCGAGGATGGAAACGATGCTCGTTCTGGACGTCGTCATATTTCAAGCTGCAACGACTGCACTTTTCTTTTTTTGCCGTTCTCTCAGCGAACAACTGAGGTAGGATATCCCTATCGAATGCAGTCAAGTCGGGGTACTGCACTGGACAATACCGAATACCAGCACTCTTCGTAGCCGAGCCAACTGAACCAATCTGATTGCGCATAGGGTGCGTATCATTCCGGATGGGTAGTTGGCACCATGTGCAAGTTGGCGGTTTACGCCCAGTAGTAGACTTCACATCCTGCACAAGCTTCTCTACCAGTGATAGATCTGCGAGTAACGACTTCGCACGGATCAAGTAGGGATTCATAGGAGAAGCTTCGACTGGTGGTGCATCGACTCGAACTGCTGGATGTGGAACAGCTTCGCTAACTTCGAACAGATCCTCGGCGACTTCGATTGTGGGTTCTCGCAATGCCCGCATGCGGTCCCTGCCTCGGGGATCCTCGGTCTCAATCTCCTCTGCGGCTCTTCGCTTCTTGACACCAGTCAAGAATTTTCGAATCAACTCTCTCGATGTTTGATACAACTGGCAGCTTACGTCCAGAGCCTTCCTCTTACGATACTCCACCTCATAATCTCTGAAGATGGCTCCAACATCACCGTCATGAAGAGCGGCCAAGTCCAAAACCAGACTCGACATTTCATCTGAGGTGCTGGGCGATCTCGGTCTTGCAATGCCACCCGAGAACGCGAGCCGTATCCGCTTCACAGCCGGTTCAGCTCCGTCATCAGACTCATCCGAAGCTCGTGTAATATATCGATAGTCCAGAATAGACTCTAAATCGCCAGTCGATGCCACTGTATCATTCAAGTCCCGAGCAGCTAGATCCATCTCCTTCGCAGTACACTCGTCTTGTTGAAGAGTTGTAGAGAAGGCATCCTCCCAATAGTCATCTTCTTGAGTGATGATACTGCTCTTCACGTCTGCTGCTCGCGCTCTAGTGTAGGAAAGACCAAAGAGCTCTTCATCGGGATCGTTAGCATTGTATTCACGAGTAACCAAAGGGTAAGCATCAATACCGAAGAGGGACGAGTTCCGCTCGTTCAAAACGGCGATAGAGTGGACGTCCATAACAGGGATAGGTAGCATGTCCTCGGCAGGCCTCTTCACAATACGTTGGCACTGTAAAGCAGCATGAGCGATACGCGAGCAGTTATACCGATAGGCACAGTCACAGAGCAAAGCATGGCCTAGCTCGATACCACAATGAGCTGAACGAAAATTGCTCTTTAATACTCGATGATAGGCTTCAACTTGACTGGTTGATCTACAAGTTCGATACAACTCCAGTGGACATGAGGGGTCCCCTCGGTAGAACTCTGTACCGACCAGAGTATATAACGGTAGTGCACCATCCTCAACCGGATCTGGATCCGACAAGCATCCTCGCCTGATGTGGACTTGCAAGTGCTTCCAGATTCTCGGCATATAACTGTTGTAAAGTGGCACACCATCGATCTCCTTATTGTCGTATCGTTCGATAACTTCTCGGACTCGTCGAAAAAGCTCATCCCCGAGAGGAATACGCCGTCGACAGTACTTCTGTACATCCTCCTTGGTTACTCGCTGGATAGCCTGCTGACGGGAGAGGCCTTGTTTTTTGAAGTGGCGTGAAGCTGCATCAACTAAACGTCGCCAATCACCCTCATGTCTGCAGAACATAGCGTATCGGAGGTCCGATGCGAACTTCGGGTACAGCACATGCTGGACATGGGTGATGCCCAACTCGAACCTCCGCATAAAATGAAAAGCATCCAAACGGAGCTTAATATTAGGGCTGATCTTCTGCCATGCTTGTTCTGTGCGAGTAGGTGGAGTATTAGGACCGAGCGGATCAGTGACCACATGATGACGAGGTGAACCGTCTTTGCTCGATGGTAGATAGCCGTTACAGCAATCTTTGTCTACATAGACGTAGAGAGGGAGTACATCATCAAGAGCTACCCCAAGATGAGCAGCAGAGTCCTGATAGCGCTTCGCCAGCCCATGCAGCATCTGTTCATATTCTTCGATTCCATCTCCCTCACAAACCCCCATAGCAATGATAAGCGAATCTTCATTCATGACACTGAAATGCTGACTAGCACCCGCCCCATGTAAGAGTTGCACGACATAAGAATGATCCGCCTTGAGCACCCTCCCCAACAATGAGCTCATAGCACCATGCATATACGGTTCTCGGCGTCGAAAATCTGTTAGATAGAGCCTCTGTAGAGTATCACGATGAACAGGGGGATCACGCTCAATCGGAGGAAACATCTGCAAATGGGAGGCCGGACCGTGGGAAGATCGTCGAGCAGTGCAATGATCCGTATATCGAGTCCGTCGTTCCAGATAATCTTCGACGTGATTCGCATTGATCTGCTGAGCAATATGTCCAAGCGTATTCCCGCCACTCGCTGTTTGACGGACCGATGCGAGTACCTCGCGAGAAAAAAGCCTGCCACCAGGGCCGGATGGAACAAACGGCACCGATCGGAGTACTTCTTCGGGCATGGCTGTAAAAAATTCATCCGCCAATGAGAGAAATCTCTTGCGCCTGTCAGTAAGATCATTGGCGCAAGGACCTGTGCAGACCAATGTAACCGGCCAGACCCAGAAGTCTTTGCGAAGGCCAATACAAATTCGAGGGCCATGAGAGCTCAGCCCCTGCACAGTGAGAGTTCCGCCACATCCTGTACAGGGGAGTGACTTAGGACCAAGGAGCTCCTTGAACTCGACTATGGGATTGAAGATATATGTATCACGGAGAAGATATCGGGTCACATCCGGCGCTTTAGACATCATAGGGTAATCCACACGAATCCAGCCTGCAAAGCTAGAGGACGATCCCTTCCGCGTGATCTCTCCAAGAACATAATCTGCCTGATACTTCGGGCAAGTACCGCATCCAACGGTTTCTGATAGACAAGAAAAACAGTTGCGACCGAGCGACATCGCCTGACATTCGCCAGTTTGACCGACTCGAGACCCAGCCCAACAGGGTGCTAGCGGGCCTCGAAACCTCCGGAGGTATAGCAGTAGATGGTGACGATGGCGCCGAAGGAGATGGTTCTGTCAAGCTACCTAGCGCATCGTAAGGGTAGCCACTATCACGTGAATCCAGAGGTGACTCGTCAGGATGCTCTGTGGAGCTTGCAGTTTCCGTGGCTTCCACTATGGGATAACTTGTCGACGATGAAGGAACAGAGCACGACGGTAGGTCCACCCTCTGCAAATCCTCTTCAGGCGGCTTCGATGCTGATGCAGCAGACTTCGAAGCAAATACAGAGGCGTTAGGCCTGACGTAGGGCTTCGTCGGTAGACCTTTCTGATAAATAGATTTCCCCAATCGAATAGGCTCGCCTCTCTTCCATTGGTCGACCAATTCGCGGACAGTCTTATTCTGTCGTCCGCGGAGCAACGCACCACCCTGATCTATGATTTTCTTCACACGATCCTGCACTTCAGTAGCGCTGAGTTCGCGATGTTGACGAGGCATGATATGTCGTTGGGTGAAAAATTTCAAACTGACATAAATGAAAGCGACTCATAGTTCCTATGAGCACGCAGACTCTGCATCGCAGAGATACTACGACATGGAATTTTAGTGACTCTTGTAGCCCAACATCCGTGCAAAGCTCGTTGCAATAACCATAAAGACCCCTCCAACCCTGGCCGCACCGATTCGGTTGAGTCATACTTCATGGAAGCTGCTCGCGACACTAATGGGCTTGGCATGGAGCATCATCCTATCTGACCGCTTAGCGCACTGATTCATGGAACCAGTTGAGACATGCTCGTGAAAGAGCTGCTCGCGCCTCTCATAGCGGTCATCAGGTCATTGCAACATGCACCGGAATCAGGTTGGGCTTCAAGTCCCGGCTCCCGGCAAAGAGCTGCTCGCCCTTCCAGACACGGCGTAATGAGATCAAAATACACAATACACGTTTCACATCGTAATCTATACGAATAATTCGTCTGTTGACCCGAGAAACTACTTTTTAACGATCAACAACCCAACCCATCTGTACCATCCCATCCCGTGAATTACAGTTGTCCAAGTTGGAATTACCAGAAACCTTCCTCAAACGCCAGCAACATCTGGAGTTCTTCGATAGCAGCTGTAGTACATACCAGGAGCACCACTCGGAGGAAAATGTATGGAAGCGGGAAGTGCCAGAGAGATGGAAGAGACTTAGTAAACTGAAGTACAAGACTTCACGGGTTGTAAACCCAGTAAAAATGGGTGAAAAATTCAACGTCAAGCTGTCCTCCAGACGTAGCAAGACTGACCTCAACTATAGCAGGAGAACAGGATGAGACCTAGGTCTAGGAGACTAAAAAACAGTCCTGGTATCGAGCAGGGAGACTAAAGCAGTCGGGAGAATTTAGCTATAAATCTTACATGCAAAATGCAGTAACAACGCAACATG